ACTTTATTATTCAAGACCACCGTGATGCATTCGCTCTAGTTTAGATTTGGAGAAGTCTGAGATTTCTTGTTGTGTGTTTATAGGCAAAAAGATGTCCGGGTTTGAACTTAATTAACAAAACATTAAAGAAAAAGTAATGTATACTGCAAAGCAAGAGTCATTTTAAATAACGTGCTGAACAGTATGTTCTGGCTGCCGGCCCCCAGAGTACGAGGACTGCATGCTACGGAAAATAAGAAGCTGCCCATGACTTGTTCTACAGTCTGCTTCTTATATAATAGTAATCACTGTGGTGAAATTCAGATGCCAGCGCTGCTGACACTTATCTGCCAAAGCGTCAGCGTTTGAATCTTAATTTTTAAATGTTATTTTTAGCCTTCAAAAGATTTGCATGTAAGCAGTGGCAGAAACAGTCTTATGGGTGGATTTTGTATCTCTGTGTTAATGCAAACGTCCAAAACATCAGCACCACCTTCTCCTTGATTTCATCTTTGACATTTTTATTTTTCGTGGTGGCCGATGTGACACCCAAAGGGGGTGAAACCACGTACAGGCTGCACAGGCTGGGGCTGCAATCAGCTGCAGGCATAAAGCCCCGGTGCAAACGCTTGCTCTCCTGTCTGTGTCTCTGGGCTTCAGTACATTGTTTGAAGCAGACTAAGCTGCATGGCGACAGAGGCTTTTTGAGTGCCAGGTTCCCATTCACACTGATCACACATTAGACTGATCAAATCAGACTCCAGGCCTGCTTCCTGACTAACTCAATTTGCTCTCATACGCTTCCCTTTTCACGCTGAGCACACGCACGCAGACACCCAAACACACACACACACACACACACACACAGGCCTGGATGCACGCTTAAACATCTGCACACAAACAGAAAACCAACAGAGAGTGGGGCAGTACCCATTGAGCTCTAATGAAAAGCAGAAAAAGCCGTTACCTTGGCAACTGCCAGCATACATCTTCAGGAGGACCCAGATTTCCTGTCTGACTGCGATCGTATTGTTTTGGTTCTCTTTTGATAGCTGCAGCATCCCTAGACGGATTATCTCACCGCTGGCAAGAATTTATGCTAAATCATCGCGAATTAAACAGCAGCCGTTTGCGCAGACAGGAAGCCGCCGCGCTGAAAATCCTCTGTCACACATTCAACACCTCCGACTCCGACAAAACACCACAAACTCTTAAAACACACACACGTGTAATCAATCTGAGGGATTTTTTATGTTGGCCTTGAGCCGGTTGCTGCTCTACGCAGAGCCCCTCCACGCCGAGAACACTGCTGCCAAAAGCAGAGGATCATGGGAATTAAACTGTCAGTGTGATTTATCCAAATTACCCTCTAACATACAAAGCGGTGTAGTCACTACGGTTTGAATGAACATGTTTATTATGACAGAATATCCACGGAAAATGTATTTTTTTTTGCAGAATAACCTGGAATAAAATGGAGACAGATCTCCCATCAAGGCACTAAAACCACAGGGTGCTGACCTTTTTTTTTTTTTTGGATGAGTGAGGATGAGTGTATTTCCTGGCAATGAGGATTTAACCCCTCACAGTACAGTCTATTCCACACACATACTGCATCAACATGAAGTCATACGTGTCTGGAATATATTTGATTTTACAAAGCATTGGGGTCCACGCTGTTCTCGTCATTATCGTTCTCATCAACATAATCAGATTATTGTAATTATTATAATTGCCTGTGCAGTGTTTGTAATCTTTGTATGTCGGTCCAAACAGGAAACAAATCAGACCCCTGTGTGATTTCTCATTTGAAAACACATGGGAGGTTGGAGGAGGGGCAGAAGATTGACCTTTTTAGCCCAGTGTAGCTCCTTGGTGTAATTTAAACATCCATGACACTTTTAAAAAATCCCAACGACAGTTAACTATCCTCCCTCCGAGCCATAGATGCTCCTCTGTGGTTAAATAACACAGGGGATAATTAACTGTGTGCAGTGTGTTCTCTACTGTGACATCTTTCTCCTTGGGATTTGGGTTTGTGATGATGTTTCTGTAGGTGGCGAAATGCTAAATTTAAGCAACAAACAGGAAACGTGAAAGGAATCATCTTCAGGAAAACTAAACAGAAGTCAATTTAAAGGCCCTAAAAACAATGAAGATGGTTTTTGAGTGTTAAATTTGTTGCTTAGTTTTTATAAAATAAATTCCCCCTGGGATTATTAAAGTATTTCTGATTCTGATTCAGAGGCTTTTTTAAACAAGATCATGTTTCTTGTAAAATGTTGCTTTTGTGTGTGTGAAACTCTCTTAATGCTGAACATTTTATTATTCTCTAACTTGGTAATTACAGGATTGCCGCTAATGGGTTGTTTTGTCTGTGATTCATGACTTGGAGACGGCCTTGGCTTGCATGTGTCAGGCAGTCAAATGACTCTCTTAACACTTTTCTTCCCCTAATAGCTTCACGTTTTAGGCTCGCACAATAAATCGAAATATTGGCGAAATGGCAACATGGCCGAGTGCAATATCCAAACCGCAGAAGCTGTCAGTTTTGGGTAAAGATCAAATTTTACTAAAGCGTGCAGCCCTTCTATCTTTATTTGTTGGACAGACCTTTCCCTTGCACTTCTCACTGACTTCTGCATGACAGGAGGTGACATACTGTGTAGCCATCCGGTCACAGGAGACTCTGTCCCCTGATACAGGAGCTGCTGTGACGTAATCGCGTCCAAGTTGCTGATGTTGACAATAGAGGAACCTTGTGTGGGTTGCACACGTTGAGATGCGGCTTTGCTGTGCTTTCCACCGGTTAGTGACACAGACAGAAACTCTAAAACCTCTTTACCTGCATCTGTGGATCTCTGTGGTATCAAAACCTATATATGTTTCAGAGAGTATGACTGATGCATAGGATGTGCTGACTTTACTTGCTGTTGGTGTCAGTGGTGTTGAAAGAGGTGCTCGAACGCGTACATATGTGTGTGCATGTGAGAGTTCGACCCTAAACCAGCACAAAAATGTGAAGACGTGTTTGATTCGAGTTTAATCTGTTGACATACATTTTCTGTGGCTTGCATCACAATATAAACCCTGAATAATGGCAAATGAAGGATAAATTGGGCCATAAAAATGGATTAGTTATTGGTATTAGTGCAGCTCTAGCTAATGTGGCTAATTAGCAACATTTGTTAATTAGCGGCCTCATCTGTACGTAGTGGTTGGTAATTAGCCACTTTCATCATGCCATTGTGTTAAACTAAGATGGTGAACATGTTAAACGTCATCCCTTGTTGTGATCCTGTTAGCGTGTTAGCAGTAGTTTAATCATAAACCGATACAGAGGTCTATGAGACAGGCTAGCCCTCATCTCACACACAACTTAGTTTAATGCTACCTACAGTTCAGGAGTTAATTATAGTTCGATATATATAGCATATGTTTATTGCTGTTATTTACAGTAATTTAATTTCCTGTTTAGTTTACTGTTTAAAATGAGCTGCTATAGTTGCTGTTACTGTTTTGGACCATTGATTTTTTTTTATTGTAATGTTATACTACTTATTACAGTCACAATTCTTCCTATAACCAAACTTAAGGGGTTCCCTATCAAACATTTCTGTTCACGATATGTGTACATGGTGATAAAGAAGAACAATATACACTCAATATTCTAACTGTCTAATGCTGCTGTTGGTATTAGCCTTAAACATTTGGTGTCAGTCAGGCTCTAATTGTTAGTTTAGCCATCCAGTGAACTCGTGTATTTTACTATATTCTGCTGACACATAACGTTTTCATTGTCTTCTGTCTGATCCAAAGTTTGTCTCGTTGCTCTTCATTTGCTCGTTGCCCTTTTTCTGAACTGTATTTAGGCTCTCACTGCTCATTTACAAGGAACCCCGTCATTATAGCAAAAGTCACACAGATTCACATGTAGGATGTTTATCGGACACAGTTCTGATGACCTTTGACCCCACCAGGTTGGCAGACACTTTGGCTAAACAAATCCGGCTACAGTCTTTGTGCAAAGGGATCTGTCTGTGCTCTTCGCTGTAATTTCCCTTCTGTGGTGTGTCCCAGGAAAAAGCACATGAAGAAACAGCTATAAATGAGAATGAATCCAGACTGTGGTTTGCACTTGGTTCATTTTGTTTTGCTAAGCTTTCCAAGCCCGAGGCTTTGGCTATTACATGTCACCATCTGTCTCCTTATGCACATAAGTCTGTGCATTTAGTATTACATTCTGTCTCACTGTGAATCTAACTTGGAAGAGGGGGGAAACTCAGACGCTTGCATCTGATGAGGTTATTTGACGCCACTTGCTTTTGAATTGCATTGTTCAGTGTTGTGCTGTACAGCTAAAAAAAAAAAAGAAAATTAATCAGTGACTTTGTTTGAGTTTGAGTCATTTTTCAAGCTGCCAAATATTTCAGTTTATCATACAGTATGTGAGGATTTGATGTCTTCCTTTGCTTTATATGCTCATACCTTAAATATCTTTTGTTTTTAAAACAAGACAGTGGAAGGCATCACTTTGGCTTCTGTGACGTGGCCTTTTTTTAACAATTTTTAATGCCATTTTGTAGATGCAACTTATTGATTAAAAGAGAAAAAAATTTACATTCATTTTGTAATGAAAACAACTGCTCGATGCAGCCCCAGCCTGGTGTTAAAGTGCCTATAACTTCTATCATTATAAAAGTTATTGTGTAAAGTTCTACTTCTTCCTCATAATCCATATCCCATAAATAAGCTAATGCTCTGCAGTGAGATTGATCCAATATCCCAGTGGCTCTGCTAGCAGCCTTGGCTGATAATGTTTGTATCTGCTGCTCTGTGGTTTCAGTGTACAGGCAATGAGAGGACAAGGTGTTAGGCTGACAAATGACTCTTGTACATATCTTTTGCTAACAGAGAAAGGCCTAAGACCCAGCAGAGCCAAACAACTTTCACCAATCCTCAAGTGGATCATGCAGCAGCATCTATTAATGTCATCTTCTCTTCCTCCTCCTCCTCCCCAGACGGCCTATAAGCCCTGGCTGTGCGCTCAGTATTTCCCCACCACCCAGCAGTCCTGTCAGAAGAGGGTACCGTGCCACCAGTACTGCCTGGAGGTCCAGCAAAGCTGTCCGTTCATCCTGCCCGATAACGATGACCTGATCCACGGCGGCAGCCCCAGCTTCATCTGCACAGGTTAATACCGACTCACTCTCACTTCCTGTTTACAACAGTGGCAGATGAGTGCCGAGTGTTTTGCGTGTGGGTGTTTGTGTTGGCCTTGCGTTCCCTACTGCCTCAGAGAAAACCTACTAATTTAATTTATGTTAGCGAAATAGCATTTTATAAAGCGATGCACAATATTAATTCATGCACAATGTGTGTCTCCACGTTTACTGGATGGTATTCCTCCAGGAAAAGAGCAAAGTGTTTGTGAAGGCTTTCTGATGACATCTAGTGGTGTATTTGAGCACAGCCGAGCTCAGACAAGGACATTTTAACAATGCATTGATAAACTGAATTTGGCCTGTCTCTCAACATTTACTGTGGTTTATACTGTAGTACTCACCAAGGACTCTGCCTCGGAGGACCAGACGCTGGCTGTGTGCCAACAAACAAATTATCCTGAAGAGCTGAGCATCATTTTAAAGGCCCTGCCACAGCCACACTGGTGTTTGTGTTACTCTGGCTGGTGAGACTGGTGCTCAGGTTGACACTGGGTGGACCTGTAGTGAGAATTATGTAAGATCAGCCAAAAGTTTTTGAGCTGAGGGACTGTTTAATAGTCCTTTAATAGCAGGTGGAGGGTATTTTTTCATTTTGCTGAAGGGAGGGTAGACAGACTTTTTTTGGGAGAGCAGGAGAGGGTCTTTTCATTTTCAGCTCTCTTTATGGCGCACTTTATCATACGTAGTGTCACTGTCACTCTTTCAGGCATCCATTTTTCACCTCAGTCCACAACCTAATAGGACCAACATGTGAGTTATGAGAAACACAGAATATGGATGTTAATAAATTAACGGATATTAGTGTTTAAAAGACCAGTGTGTAGGATTTAGTGTCATCTAGAATACAGCTCAGCCTTCGAAGCGTGTAGGAAAAACTACGGTGG